CTCATCTAGTCTAGGTCTGCTTTGAGTAGGAGGTTGGACCAGGTGACCTCCAAAGTCCCTTACAATCTAAATCATCACACGATTCTAAACAAATGGGACTTTTCTTGTAAACCTATCTGTTCAAGAGACTAAAAGAGATGTAAAAATCAAGACTGATTGGATAGGTACTTACTATTACAACAAAAATTACAACTAGTCACTTACAAATAGCAAAAATATTATTTCCTCAGATACACAAAAAATAATGACCCTATCATTTGGGCATTCAAGTCTGGTCAGAGAAAAATATAATGTATAACACTTTTATCACTTTCCCTGAGCTTTCCCACTGATGGAACACAATTTTCTGGTTATGTACTTCGCTGCTTCTCTCTCAACTGCAGCCCCTCTTGCTGGATTGCAAAAGGCTCAAGGAAATGGTGCTGTTGAATACAAAATTCTATGAATGTCCTAATGGAAAATGTTTCACTGTATAACTTCTAGGCAATTTAGCCTTACTATGGGAACACTCATGAACTGGGAACTTGATTTTTACTGCCTTTTTGATTAAGTTAATTACATTATGATTCCTAGCAATTTTTCATCAAAACAGGAGGGCAACAGTTTTACCATATCTTTTATGTTTTTCTTCTCTAGAAAGTATCACAAATGTAGACAGAGGATCATTGTTAAATGGTGGTATTTGTGCTTGTAAGTTTAATCCAAAATAAATTTGCCATAAACCAACAATAAAATCGAATATAATACTGACATTAAAGAATTGGATTTTGCCACAGTGAACTAATGAAAAGAGGAATCTTAGAGGTATATTGGGTGAAATATAGGTAATACATAAAGTTTATTGTTTTCAGTCTCCTATTGCATGTGTTACTTGACAGTGCTTTGGGGTTCCAGCTGTGGACACAAACATAGTCAGATGAGCAACTAAACAAAAATAGCAACAAAATAGGCACAGAGACTCTGCTGATGCCAGTGTGTGTGTACAGACTCAGTTTCCTCACCCAAAAATCCCACTGAGGTCTCTACTTCCATCCTACTCACTCTAACCACAGAGAGAATCCCTTGTTATTTCAAGGAAGATATTAAAGTCAAAATGGGCCATATTGCACTAACTTGAAGAATAATTACTATAATTCTTCCTAGTGCAGTTAGACTATGCCCAACAAGCTCTGTTGGTTTATATGTCGGCACTTTCATGCTTGCATTTGTGTGCAGAGCTGTAACCCTAGGAGCTATTCTTGTATTCACCATGTCCATCTCTGTGTTTTGCCAGTGTTTTGATGTGAAGCTGTTTTTCAATCTGCTTGCATGTCTCTGAATCAGCACCAAAAGAGAATTAACTGCTTTCAGTGATTAAAGGCAGATACCACTAAACACTTTCAGAACATAATTACAGAGCATTTTCACTCCTCTGCTATTGCTTAAAGGAGTTTGAGTTTCTGCTGATAGTTATCCTCCAACAGCTGGGATCACTGTTGACCCAAACACATGGATCTGATCTATGTGGTACCACCATGGTCCTCAGAGATACCTGGTTAAGCTGTTCTTCAAGATCAGGCCCAAAGCATGAAGGAAAGGTTACTCGACTTTTATGAAACAAACAAGTACCATTGCAGGACTATATCCTGTTTTCTCTACATTTATAATGAATTTGTTGGTAGTATTTCTATTTTTTTCCCCCTCTGAAAAGACCACAGTTTAAAGCCTTTGTCCACCAAAGATATATTTGCTTACAGCGGGTTTATAGCTTGACATTTTTTTGCTTTTATTCCCCTTGCAGTACACCTTTAAACATTTAAATATTTTTGGGCTGTGTGCATCTTAAAAGGAGCCACAGGTATTTCCTGAGACAAGGAAGGTGCAGAGACAACAAAATTCTCCCTTCTCACCACAATGTATATGCACCCTCATCCCCCCCCCCCTTTTTTTTCCCCCTTTTTTAATCATCATCTACTTAAAAATATGGATTTAAAAGATCACTCTGTCTTTCTTCAGGTGAGTGCATCTTATCACCAGTAAATTGTAAGCCTGAGCCACTGCACAAGATGCTATAAAGACAGTTCCTCCCCTGAAAAGCTTACTATAAGACATCACAGTTGGAGACAACACACCCAGAAAAAGAAAGAAAACTGAGACTTGTAGCGGTATTTGGCAAAAAAACAGGTAAATTTTCATGTGGACAATACCCCCCCTGTTAGGAGGAGATCACTGGTAAGACCTGTATGACTACATTAATTACTGCTCAGTTGTACTTACCCAGCCAAGCTAACACTGGGGGAAAACAAACAACTAATCCACAGAAGTTGTATTCCTGAGCGAGAAGACATGGTGCTGGGCAGGTATCTTGGTTTAGGGCAAATCTGGGAGACAGCAGCATCACAGCAGCTCAGGATTTCAATCTGAACCCTGGAGCCTCCATAGATCTGGAGAAGGCAGCCTCCCTGACCTTCCCAAACTGTAGTATTTTGAGGGCTTTTTCTGCTACTGTTCTCTCACTTAATCCTTTTTAAAACCACTGCCAAGGAGGGAAGAAGTTCCAAAGATGAGAATATTACAGTTCTCCAAGGTCCCAAAGGTGTGAACTTGGCACATGTGGAGAAGAAGGCTGTTTCCTCCTTCTGTGTCCCTCTTCCTACTCCTACCCACATAGTCCCTCCATACTATTGGAAAATTTAGATTTGAGCGTAACCAAACTCTCTACTCCAGTAAGGCTCAGCTAAAAGACCTGATGAGGAAATTCTGCTGATGAGAAACATCTGGGCTTTGTTTTATGCAACCAAAGAGTTAAAATTATTGTCAGAAATACCACAATGTATAAAAGCTGCAAACATCCGACTGTAGTGTCAGACTTCCAACTTTTACAAATGTATTTGTCTCTCCTATTTGTAAATGTTATTTGAACAGAAACAGCACATTGTAACAGCCTAACAAGAAGCAGTCTTTCTGATGACGTTTGAGACTTTGCTCCACTGTATGGTAATATTTAAGACTTAAAAGATTTATATTAGAAAATAGTGTTTTAAATGGCTCAGTCCTGTTACCAGTAAAGTCAGAGGGGGTTACCATCAGCTTCAATGAAAGTGGCATAAGGGCCGAGATGCATTTTAACATGATTTTTTTTTCTGTTTTGTTCCAAGAGTCAAGAAGTCTCTCCAAAGGCCCCCCTACTCCTTAAAAAAAAAAAAAAAATCAATCTAAGTTATCGAGCATCCATCACTGCCATGGCCAGACATGAACATCCATCAAGACCTCTCTAAAACTCTCTAAGTCAGAGTTCCACCACACTGAGTCTGTTGAGCACAGAGGAACATTGTGTATTTATAAGTGTAGGACTGGAAGGTTTCTGTTGCCTTTTAAGATATTTTCTCACAATGTCCAGTACACCATCCCATTTGTTCTGAGACAAAGATTCTAATCTTATGCACACACTTCAGCGATAATACTGAACATGAACAAGTAAGTAGTACAATCTGATCCATTAAAGGGATTAGAGTCTGAGTAAAGTCAGCAATCTTTGATTAATTTTCTTTTTTTATGATTGATAGATGCTAAATTGAATTCCATAAATGAACAAACCAGCTCATAAATCTTTTAAATCCATATTTTAATTTAAATAGCACAAGGACAAACATTTATCTTCAACTGAGTTTTCCCACCAGCCTCCAGAATCAAAATGTTTTTCTTTGTTGGTTTTTATGCTTTATGCTCAGATTTTTTTTAATAATTATTTGGATCATGCATTTTGCATTTCTGTTGATCCTCAGATGTGAATAGCAAAATCATATCTAGCTTCTTGACAAAAGTTTACAGGAAACATGGAAATTACATATACTAATATTTAGTTTATTCTTTCTTCTCTTTCTTACTGTTTATCTTCCATTTTAGTCATTTATTTGGAACGATAAGCTCTGTTGGAGACTTTATACTGTGCATATTTGGGCTGGGACACTCTTTACTAGTCCAGGTTGCTCCAAATCCTGGCTGTGAACACTTCCAGGGATTAGGCAGTCACAGCTTCTTTGGGCAACCTGTGCCAGGGCCTCACCAACCTGTTTCACCTTTGGTGCCATGCTTTGGTGTTCTGCTTGAAGTTCCCTAAGTGACTCTTTAAGTTTAAACACAGCCAAGACGAGTTTCATCCCAGAAGTTTATAAGGGACAACACGGTAATGTCACGCAAACGTGATCCAGTGACTTAATTAAAATCAAGTTAGCAGAGAGAGAGTGAAGCTGTACACCTGAGAGTCCTGGGGGAATGCTGCAGGAGGGTGAAGGCCTAGAAGAGCTGGGAAAAGGTACTACAAGGACAGGGAAAAAAAATCTTACAAACCCAAACCAAAACAAACCAACATGCGTTTTATAGGGGGAAAAAAAAAGTCAGAATCCAGTTGTATATTTTAAAAGGGAAAGGTTAGAAAAACATTCAAGGAGAGTGTCCAAAGAGTTAATTTCCAGCAGCTCTTGAGGCAGCAAAGCCTGGGAAGGCTCCTGGCGCCCTCTGCTGTGAGGCGGCAGCAGGAGTGGAAATTTCCTCTGGAAAATAGCTTTGTCCTAAAGTTCCGGCAGATAAAATGACTGCGAAAAATGAATGCGTCCCAATGGGAAGAGGGGTAATTTGACTCCCCAAGCGAAGCCTGGATTGGGGCGCAGCTTAGCTTTGGGGTGAGGGGGAGGAAGAGAGGAAGGTTGCTTTATATTTTTATTCTTTTTGTTTTCACTTGTTTTTGGTCTTTTTTTAAATTATTTTTCTCTGGAGTCTCACATTGGGCCGGCTGCAATATGAAGAAAGGAGCCCTGAAAGCCGGTAAATGAAAACCTCGCAGAATCCTCGGAATAATGGTTGCAGCATGACAAACGTTTTTTTTAAAAATAACAAAACCTCCCAAATTATGTGTGCCTGTTTCCCTCCCATCTGGAGTTTCCAAGGGAGGGATAGCCTAAAAGAGCACGGAGGAGAAATGTGTTCTTCCAGCATAACTTAAATACTAAAAAGGAAAAGCCTTCGAAAAAAAGAGAAAACAAACAAATAGACAACAAAACAGAAAAGGCATTCTTGACTTGAAGCACTTTTCTCTTAAAATTGAAGGATGATCCCTAACCCAAATCGACACCCTTAATTTAATTGCCAGGAGAGTGAGGAGCGCTCTCTGCTAGCAGGCTACGAATTCACATTTTTAAAAATCTTTTTTTACATTTCTACAATCATTAACAGCGATAATAGCTATTTGTGAGCAACAAACACACAAAATGCAAAGGGACCGACAGAACAAACCGGTAGAGCAAACATCAAGGTTCTTCCTTTAGGTACCTGCTGAGGAAATATACTCTGGTTTTAATCTCTAAAATTAAAAGGGGGGTGGGGCGAGGTGTTCATGCTGATCGGAGACAAATACACAGAGCTTTTCAGCTCGTCTTTACCAGCTGTTTTTCCTTCATTCCTAGTATCTTCCAGCAAATATATCTTCCGACCCCTCCCAGGAGACGTGATTTTTGGCAGGAGCCGCGTTTTCACGGGGGGCGGTCCGGCGGTCGGGCCGCGGTGGGGGGGTCTCGGCTGCAGGTCCGCCCCCGCGGGGTGTCAGGTGCGAGATGGTCCCGTCGTGGGGATGGGAACGGGGGTTTCAGCTGGCACTGGATTGCGGCTCGTCCTCTCGGCACCCCTTCCATGCGGGCAGGAGCCGATGGGCTTCTCCTTCAGCTGAGGACAAATTTACCTTAAAAACAAAACATAAGTTTATTTTTTTTTTCTCTTTTTTTTTTAAATTTAATATTTTTGTTCGTTTGTTTTTGTGTGTTTATTTGGTTTTTTATGTTTTTTTTCTTTCTTTTAAAAATGAGGCTTTTCAGGCAAGTGCTTTCACCTCGTGATCTCACAACGCATGACAAAGTTTGGGGAAATTAGCGGCAAGTCCCAGACGGCCGCTGTGCTTTTTGCATACCAACCAAAACACGCTTCCTTGGGATAAAAAATGCTAAACTAAACACAGTTAATTTAGTAAAAGCCAGCAGATTTCTGTTGTCAAGATGCAGGCGAGGGTCGGCACCTATCTTAGTTTGTACACATACACGCGTGGTGCCCTTCCACTTCAAGCTCCCCATCGAAGTGCTGTGACAGGGAAAAGATACTCGTATTTTTTATTTTTTTTTTTTATTAAAGGACCTATTTTACAGGCAGCGATAAGTCAAAGCAAACCGTAGTCGAATTCTTGTAGGAAGGGTCATGCGCGGGCGGATTTGTCCTATTAATAGGACAGGAAGAGCCGGGAGAGCAAACGCCTGCCTTGAACACAACGTGGAATGTTATTTGAGGTAATAGGATTGAGAGCAGACACAAAACCAGTATTTTTGTGGGCGTTCAAACGCGTCGTTACTTCGCGTTAAATAACATTTTAGAAGACTCTAAAACTTTAGAAGGCTCTCCTGGATTTTCTGCTGGAAGGATGCGGGATTAGTTGGAAGCATTTGAAATGGAGAGGGAAAAAAACTGTATCCAGACGACAGCTCCCTGGGGAAGCTAATCAACATTATAGATAGTAAAGGTTCTACTATTGAGGGCTACTTTGCCGCAATTGGTTTCACATCATAAACATATAAATACAGGAGATAATTCTGAGATCACATAGGAGTTTACCTGGAAATGACGGGAGAGCAACGGAGCATTTCTGAAACTGTCAGAACCTTTCAGGGAAGCCAGCTAATGCTGAAGGACTGATAGTTGGCGAAAACAAACAAACAAAAATACCCCCAAAAAACCAGGACACCCCCCGAGCCCCAACATGGCCGCACTTAGGAGGAAACATACAATACGTTTCTAAAAATCCCGCTCCCTTCATTGTTACTTTTGTAGTTAAAATATTGGCTGACACTACATTAAAGATCTCAGTAACGTGGTTACAGACGTATGGAACATTTAAAACATGACCCTACCAGTTTAAGAAGTAAGCATTTTAGGTAAAAGACCCTGATAACTATTCATTTTCCTTAATTAGGAATTAGTGGATTTTTTAAAGAATTTTTTTACAAGAGAGAATTCACAAAACAAGATTTCAGAATTTTTTCTTGTATTGACCTTCCTCTTCACAAGCAGTAAAAAAAAGTAGAGTTCAGGATGTGCTGGATTTTTGGCTGGTTGTATTTTATTTTATTATTTTATTTTATCTTGAGCTTTTCTTGTTGTTTGTTTGGGTTGGTTTTTTTTTCAGTATCCACTTTATATCCATGTTTATTACATTATTCCATTACTAAGAATTTCCAGAAGAAAAAAAAACAACCAAAAACCAAAACTATGGAGGCGACGAGTAGGGCCTTACTGTACTTTTTTAATTAACGAAAAGGCAAAGTTTCTATTGACTTAGGGTGAAAGGGAACGAGGCCCTATGAGAATCACTACAGGGACGAGGTGTATTTTCCTTTCTCTCCACAGCCTTGAGAAGCTAAGCGGACAATGCGGCACAGCCGGCGGCTGCACCATCCCGGGGCAGGGCTGCTCCGGCCCAAGCGGCACGGAGCCGCTCCCAAACCCCCTCGGGATCCCTCCCCACCGTCCAGGATCCCTTCCCTTCCCTTGCAGGGGGAGGGCACACGAGTGGCAGGCGGCAGCTGCCCTGCTCGACGGGCACCGAGGGACCGGCGCGGCAGCGGGAGCCAGAACCAAGGCAGAGGCTTTGCGAGTATTCCCTTCCAAAGCAAAGCGAAAAGGGATTACACTGAATTATCAAATACCCCACAACATCCTGCTTCCATTCACGTTTCAAATAAGTTACTTTTCTAATAATCCATTAGCTGCTTTAAAGACCAGTGTTACTTATTCACCAGTGCTCCGTGAAAGTTATTTACTTGAAAATTCTTTTCGATTTCCAGTTACTCTCCACATAACATGCACTACTTGAAGAAAGCAAGAGGGCTCTCAAACAAGAAAACTCAGTTAGTCCCTCGTTTTGCAAGACGACACGCCACTGGGGCTCCTAGTTTCATTTTTAATATATGAAATATATTAAAAATTTCATCCTTGCTAAGCACTCACTATTCCCGTGGATCTTCCTGGCAGGTGCTGGGTGCTGAAGCCTTAGGAGAAAACAGGCCACCTTTTCAGAAAGGCCTAACTGTGGACCTAAACAGCCTCACTTGAAGAGCTCACATTAACAAGCAATAAACCCTACGACTTCGTTTCGATCCCAAATTCAATGTACCACGATCAAAGGATTACATAAACAATGTGAGCACTACAGAAACAGTGTAGGAAAGTCACAGCCGAAACGGGAATTTAAAAAAAAAAAAAAAAAAAAAAAAAAAAAAAAAAATTAAAAAGGGGTCTCATAACCGAAAAATGCTTTTAAGAGATGTGACAGCCGCAGTTTGGAGCAGGACCTGTAGAGTCGTGCGTTCTCTGCGGAAGCACAGGCAGTGCGCTCCGGCCGCCGTCCCACGGCCACCGCAGCGGTACGCGGGCTGCAAATGCCGCTGCCCCGGCAGCCGCCCGCGGGGGATGCTCAGCACAAGGGCCGCCGGCTGAGAACCAAAACCACCGGGGGGAGAAAGCCGAGGGGGCCCCTGACTCCCACCAGTTATTTTTATCCGCGTCCGCCTTTCCAACCCACCAGATATTCGCTGCGAGGCGGGGCGATAGAAGAGCACCCTTACAAGTCAGCCGGGCTCGCAGGGACACAGAGCCCACCACCGGGGGCGAGGAGCCCGCGGCACCAACACGGACCCGGGCGGGGCTGTGGCATCGGGCCCGCACATTGCCCTTCCTGACCGTTAAATCAGTAACAGAAAGAGTTCATTACCTAAACCCAAAATACTGAGGAGATATCAGTAAATCAAAGAAAGAAAATAAAAAAAACCAACAAAAACACACTCCTCCAAATACCAGATTAGGACAGGCGGGCAGCAGTCTGGGAGTCCGCACTGCTGGCTCCCGGAGACTGAGCTGCTGCTCGGATTACCCTCCGCGACATTCCAACCGCCAAGGGAAGGAACATTCTTTTTTTTTTTTTTTTTTCCCCTGTTGGCTTAGTTATTTTTTAGTTTGGTTTTTGTTTATTTGATTGTTTTCCCCTCTGCAAAGTCTCTTCTGTTTTCTGTATGAAGCAGCAACCCCGTCCCTGTGCACTAGGCCTTGCAGATTCTCCCAAAACAGCTCAATAAAGAGTAAACCCGGGATTGAGAGATTCTGATTTAGTTTTCATACATATAATATTTATAAAGTACATATTATATATTTATATGCACATATATAAATATATATCTAACCTCGCCCTGGTTAGATATATATTTATATATATCTCGCCTTTTTCAATATATCGGGAAAAAATCAGACTCGAGGTAATGCGAAGTGAGTAACACGAGCAGCTTTTCTCTGGCTCTGTCTGACAGGCTTTGTCTCTATGTCTGCGTCAGACAGCGCTCAGTCTGAACCAACCGGATTAACCAGGACGATCCCCGGGTGATCAGCGTGACAAACCGCACTGATAAAATACGACCGTGGCACTCTCTGCAGACACCTCGGGATTGTTTTACAGTGGTACATCCCCGGTTATCCCTCTGCTCGTGACTGCTGGCCGCCGCGCTGGCTGCGGCAATTAAAATCCACCATCGCATCCGGGGAAAGTTTTAAATGCCAGGATTCACTTTGTCTTCGCGAGCAGTGAAACAAATGCAGGTGTAGTGACACGCTCTCATGTTAAAATCGTGACACGGGGACAACGCATTTTTTTTAAAGTTATTTTTAAAAATAATATTTTTAAATAAAAAATGTACTGTTCAGAAGTAGCGATAAACCCATGTAAAAATCGCGACGAGGGTGCAATGCAAGTATTTTTAAACAATCGGTATGGGTTTCTTAGAAGGGTTAGTATGATTTTCAGCAACCTTGTCTTTGGAATACACTTTGGCGGTCCAGAATGTTACGTGCTCTGTTACTCGGGAGGAAAAGGACAGACCGGGACCCCGTGGATGTAACCATTTTGGGGAATTTCTGTTCGATCCAAGGACTGGAGCCCCGGGGGAGCAGCCTGTCCCTGCATCACTCAGCCAGCCTCGCCATTTTACACAGCCACCGCTCCTGCGCATTAAACGGGACAGCGGAGGATGGGGTGGGATCACACCCAGGAGTGGCACAAGCGTTAATCCGGGACTGCGGAGGAGCCAGGGAACCTCTACAGGGGTATGCGAGCAGACAGAGCCCTACGGCCACCGCGCCCCTTCAGCGCTGCTTCCAGAGAGCCCGACATTTAAAAAACCTGATTATAACAAGGGACTAGAGCCGCGACCTCTTCGCGGTTTGTGTTTCCAGGCACGGCCCTCCAGGCGAACACGACTGTGTCCCCTGGCGAAGGGGCGACCGAAATGAAAACGCCTGTGGGCCGCCGGGCCCTGCCCCTCACGGCGGAGAGGGCTCTGCGCCTCGTCAGCAGGTGTCCCGCTACCCTGCACCCGTCCCGCGGCCTCCCGGCCGTGCCACCCCGCTCGGCTCGCAGGGAAGAGCGGGATGGGAGCGGCGGGTGCAGTGGCTGAGGACGGTGCCTGAAGACGGGAGGGAGCCCAGAGAAAATGGAGGCAGACGGGATCGCAAACGCTGAGTGGCTGCATGGCGGCCGAGGGGCGGTCCGAGCTTCGTGCTGAGGAGGGAGCGAGTGAGCTTCCCCCCGGCCGCCTGGGCTTAACGGGGACACGGTAGCGACACGCCGGCCAGTTGTTCCTGGGCTGCGGACACGGCGCGGCCCCTCACGGCGCGGCCCCTCAAGGCGCCCTGGGGATGTTCCAGAAGGTTCCCCGCGCGCGGGCTCTGCCAGCCCGGCATGGCGGGCGGAGGGCGCCCCCTGCTGCCCATACGCAGCAGTTACGGGCCTCAGGGGCGCCGGGACAGGTAAACACGTAGAATACAGAAATCCTGTGGGGAAAAAGTCGTCTTTCAGTGCTGGTTTGGCATCCTTCAGTATATAAGCCTCCTCTCCCGCCCCCCACACCTGCTAAGTGTATAATTTTTGTCAGGATTTTACAATTTTTTTCATTTAGCAGTGTAAATCGAAAATGCAGAGTTGCCAAGAAAAATGAATGTTGAATTAAACTCAGCTGACCAGCGCAATGCAGTTTATTTTCCCAGGTTTTTTTCCTTCGAAAGTATGTGTCCATTTTATCGCCCCTTTATGATGATTTATGGTTCCTTTAAATAGCCCTGAACGTCAGATCGCAAATACTGAAAATGTAAATCTGGTTTGTCTAATGTGGAGTTTAAAATATTCTTGTGATGTCAGAAAGTGATGGCTTATAAAATATTTTCATTTAATTAGGAAACGCTAAGAGGATTTCTGCAAGGAAAAAAAATAAAGGCAAGGAAGCTCAGTTTGAATTATTTATGTGCTATGAACTATCATGATTGCTGCTGCAGCTTTTCAAGTACAAAAATGGAGGATTTTCTCGCTTTTCATTTCTAAAACCTAATTCTTTAATTATTCAGGCATGCAAATTACTGTGAACAGGTATTAATTATGCAGGTAATCAAGGTTTTATTCTAAGTTTACTTTTAAAAAGCAAAGATTGGCTAATACTGTGTACAGGGGTGCTGACACTGGACTTGTGCACTGAAACACTCCTTTAAGGTGTGATAATAGTTTGGTATTTCATGGAAGTACATGGGGTAGGAATGAATTTGTGCCTTGCATAAGCTAAAGAACAGAATCCACAGCATAAATCTTGTCCTGTGAGAGAGAATGATCTCCGTAGGACCAAGTGCTCATCATCCCCTTTCTTCTCACAGGATCATAGAATATTCCAAGTGTAAAATGGACCCAAAAGGATCATAAAATCCAACTCCTGGCCCTGTGCAGACACCCCAACAATCCCACCCTGTGTATCCCTGAGAGTGTTGTCCAAACACTCCTGGAGCTCTGGCAGCCTCATGGCCATGGCTATTGCTGGGAGCCTGTTCAGTGCCCGACACCCTCTGGGGGAAGAACCTTTCCCTGATGTCCAGTGTGACCCTCCCCTGACACAGCTCCAGCCATTCCCTCGGGGCCTGTCCCTGGTCCCAGAGAGCAGAGATTGGAGCTGTCCCTCCACTGCTCCTTGGGAGGAAGCTGTGATGAGGTGTGACCTCAGTCTCTTCCAGATAAAAAGCAAGAACTCTTCCCCTCAATGGTGTGAAGAAAATTACATTCTGTAGAGTATGCCTTGAAGTGGGGAGGTCAGAGGATGTTTCAGATTGGAAAGAAGAGCAAGTAAGAGGAAAGGGGAAGACCTTTAATTCCACCTTTTTGTCAAGCTGACTGGCCTCTGTCGGGGTGGGATCTAGCGCCCTCAGGGGTCTGTTTCCTCCGGGAAGGTGCTGCATCCATTACACTGTCATGGAGTTTTAATTCGCCTGTGCTCAGACTCTCTCTTGGCATTGGCTATCTTGGTTTGGCTGCCAAAGCACACAAATTCAACCTTGGCAGACTGTAAGATGGAGAAGCTCAATTTGTGTGCATAAACACTGCTCTCTGTCATTTAATAAATGATGCTGTCAAAAGTACCACAGAAGTTTACCATCACTGAGCACTGGTTAGATTTTGCAGCTGTAATCACACTTAGATGCTTCAATTAGCAATCCCTTACTTAAAGCTGATGGGTATACTCATAAACTTTCCAGATATAGAAGTGGCATTATATCTTCAGTATGACTGATTTCAGTGGGATTATAATTTGTTATGAAAGACTTTCTCCCAACCCTTCAGACTCATATATTCCATTGTAAAGATGAGCATAAGTCCCTGAAGAAAGTGAGGCTTAGGGCAGGGAGTGGTGGGAGGGGGACGGTGCCTGTTTCAAGGGTCTCTTACAAGCTGTCAGTCACTTCAGTGCTTCTGGCTTTAAGGCATGTCAAGTTAGAAAGTCAAGATTTGTGGATTCGCCTGATTTGGATGCTGCTTAATTACGAGCCCCTTTCGGTCAGTTATGGAAATAAAGCCATACCCTACACAAGGCTATTTTGGTGTTGGAGAAAGAGGGATGTTATATACTTCTGTAAAAAGAGCTGGATCTGTAGAAGTAAGGAGTAAAGTTATCTTTTTCATTGTCCAAAGAGAATTGTTACTTGTTGTCCAAGGAGAAGAAAATGAGATATTTTTAATATGTCAGAGGAATATTTTGAAATGTTAGGACAAGAGTTAAAAGAGAATGGGGCAGCCTGAGTCTTTTGGAGGCCTCGTGACTCATTTAATTTTCCTCCCTCCCCAGAACTCCCATTCCATTGCAATTGTTTGAGCCACTTTCTGGGCAGCAGGAAGGCGTCCACACCATTAAAAGGGCTATTTTATTTCAGACTGACAAAAATGTGCTACAGTGTCCACCTGAGCAACTAACAAAACCCTTTAGCTTCTCCCTGCCAAAGCAGTTTCTTCAAGCATCTTTCAATAGCCACTCCTTAAAGCAGGAGAAAAAAGACCTCAAACACTAATCCCCACCAACTGCTCTGCTGGCAGATAGCCAAAAGGAGAAATGGACCTCTTGCTTGCATTGAAGGTTTACTTTTTTGTCTCACTGATGAGAATGGTAGTTAAGCAGTAGCAGTGTAGTGGCTCTGATGATGTCAGAAGGAAAAGATGGCTTGGTGGATGCTGATACAGCAGGGGAAAAGTCTGCATGCTTGATAACCAGTTATATTCAGTTAGATGACTATCACAGTGCAATTAATTATGAGGAAAATGCTACAGAAGATACTTATAGCAAATATAAATTTACTCCCTACAAATAGTGAATAGCCTTCTCAAAGAACGGAAATGGTAATGCTCATATTAAGCAGTATTGGCATTAGCATTGGCATAGTGGGGTTGGTTTTGCCAGCTTGAAGGAAGACATCCTGTCATGAACAAAACATACAAGTTCAAGCTCCTTCTTTGTTCTGAAGATAAGTTCTGCAATCTAAGAAAAAAGCTGCTTAGAAAAGGAACATGGTCAAAAGAAATCATGACTATAGAATACACGCACTTGCATTTTCTGGTGACATGTACTTAAGGAAGAAAAAGGTGGGCAGAGAGAAAGTGACAAACTCACAAAAAAAAATCTGATACACCCCTTTATTTTGTCCACATGATGAAATGTGAACATGGAGAAAAAGCCCATGCACACAAAGGACACAACCATCAGCGTTTAGTAATGGGATTATGACGTTTGATTAACTTCCCTGTAGCAGTAAGGTGTCATATAATGTCCTGCTTACTCGGCAGTTTACAGATAGTTTACAGAATGCTCACCCTCAG